TGTACCCCACCAGAGTACTAGACACTACATACATATATACTATGATACCAGTATGTAGTATTTTTCTAAATTAGTAAGAGTACAAAAAAACCAAAACAAAACAGCCTCCTTTTTGTTTGGCTGTCATTGAGTTTTTTGACTTTTATTGAGAGGCTCTGACTCTGAGAGTCAGAATGGCAGAGTACCTTATAGGCCTATAGCCTTATTATAGCCTTATACCTCTCTAGATATTCACCAGTCACCACTCACCACCAGTCGCCACTCAGGGGTCTCAGGCACTCACCAGTCACCAGTCACCAGACTCCAGAGTCGCCAGTCACCACCCCCCGGGCCCCCAGCAACAGATTGACAGAGCAGACCGTCCCTCTCGCTCTACTCTCTCTCTCTCTCGCTCTACTCTCGCTTGTAGTAGTAAATAAAGTAGAGGTAAATAACGGACTAAGTCCGTAGGGAAAAAATAAATAGAACATGGTGGAATCAGGAATTCTCTGGCCTGGTTAACGACAATGACTTATCCTTTTTTAAAAACACTAGTTTCCGATCTGTCGCCTTTGGACCGTATCAAAAAAAGTTATCACTTTTTTGGGGTTGTTTTTGTATGTGCTTTTAAATAAAAATGCCCACAATATCCTCGTAAAGAGTATCATATTTGATATTTACAATCCAAATGTTGTATTATATTCCAATTTTGAATTTTCATAGACACACACACACAGAGTTTTTCTTCAAACAATGAACAAATACGACACCCGTCACTATAAATTTATTAACGCCCGAGCCCTAGTATGTATCCCTATGTACCGAGTGAAATTATTTTGAATTTATGATCTAAAAAAGAATTGCGATCAATGAAATCACAGAACAGGACAAAATTCCTTGGACCTGAAATTTTCAACAGAACGGTATAAAACCGAATTCAACATTGTTGAAGTTTTGAACTACAGTGCAATTGTGGAACCAAACGATCATATTTTACAAAGCCTTCTTTCTCCTTTTATAATTAGAAGGCTATGAAACGACATATTTTTATAATATTCAGAAGTATGGATCCACGAATTCACGCTCACAGGTTTAACTGTATTCTATTTCAGGTGATAGGTGTAGATTATGTACCGAAAACTGATACTTGACTGTTGTATCGGTATTTAAAGATATATTCTTGCGGTGTATACGCTTAATAGTTCGGTACTTAGGCCAAAGTCGCCTTACGTGGGCCCAATCGCCCATAAATATCGACGCTACCCTGCGAATGGACCGGATGAGGTTTTTGACATGGGCTCGAGCGTTAATAATTTTATAGTGACAGGTGTCGTATAGACAAAGTCGTGTTTTGAAAATAAACATGTATTTGTACATACTGTATTGTATTTAGGTGTGTAAATACTGTGTAAATAGTGTATGTACTGTAAATTAATTATTTGTTTGGAAAGAAAAATATGCATACATATATACAATACTCCAATGTTTTTTAAACAAAAATATTGCTGCTCTTGTATATTTATTTTAATAGTGCAACACTATACAGTATGTACAGACAATGGTTTGATTTTAAAAAAAAACTGTAAAGCTAAAGAGCTATTTAATGAAAACCAGTTTCCCTTCATAAATATTATAGTGCACCGTTACAAGGGAGAGTTTGCGTCTAACGACGTGTCACCTACTCACCAGCATAGTTAATACCATGGCTAAATAGATGTATATATATATATATATACATACA